TCCCCAGCCAACATTCGCTGGCTGGGGGATTCTTGGGGGTGAAGTCCGGACATCTTCAAGTTGCCAAGGTTGAGAAACACTGAGTTAGACAGACTCCTCTTGACTTATAGGGGTGCTGGTATGGTGGACTCACCCATTCTAGCAACTTTACAAAACCCAGGGGCTCCTTGAAGACCCGGAACTGTCCCACGGCCACAAGCTGTGAAAAGAGAAAGGAAATTTAGTTTACAAACCTGTGGAATATATATATATCTAAGATGCTGCATTCAGCAGAAACCTGTACTGGTCCAAAGTTTGACATCTTTCAGCTGGATAAGCTGAAGGTGAATCTGGAATTTAACAAGTACCTAGGATAGGTATGGCCATGAAAGTCCACTCCTTTTCCTGTCTCATTCAGAAAATCAAGAGTTTCCATCCCCCAGATCAGTTGGGATCCACCAAACACGTTCAAGCAAAGCAAACATGCTAAAGAACAGAAGCTGTAGCTGGGAGCTCTCTGCCACACTTCTGAGAATCATTTATTCGGTTTGTTTGTTTTTCTAAGCACTACAACGAAAGAGAATATAACCTTGGAATCACAGAGGGAAATGGCCCAGAGCGTCTTTCAAAAGTGTCCAGCTAAGTCAGGCTTCCCCAACTTGACAACATGTGGATATGTTGGAAGGAAATTTCAAGAATTCATGGGAATTCTGGGAATTCCAGTCCCAACATACCTAGAGGATGCCAAGTGGGAGAGAGGTCTAATTGGATTTGCTTTAGCTTCCCTTATAACCAGTGCTCAGAAAACATGTTGCAATCCAAAATAATGTGATTTAAATAGGGTAAGTTAAATGATGTTTCCCTTTAATTTTCTGGGCTGCTGTTTTGCTTTTAAAAAGGTGTTGGCTCAGATATGTTAAAAAAAACACATAATGGGAGCTGATAAAATCATAGCAGGAGGGGAAGTGAAGAGAAGGAAAAATAGTTCAACTGTTGTCAGCAAAGATAACCAGTTTAGAATTTGCTAGGTATCTTAATGGAGATAGCAATAGCAGTTAGACTTATATACCGCTTCATAGAGCTTTCAGCCCTCTCTAAGCGGTTTACAGAGTCAGCATATTGCCCCCAACAATAATCTGGGTCCTCATTTTACCCACCTTGGAAGGATGGAAGGCTGAGTCAACCTTGAGCCGGTGAGATTTGAACAGCCGAACTGCTGAACTGCAGTCAGCTGAAGTAGCCTGCAGTGCTGCATTTAACCACTGCGCCACCTTGGCTCTTTCAGATAACTGAAAGAAGCATGTTCAATAAAGAAACCCTGTCATGACCCACAAAATGCCAAACCAGGAGAGAGCCACTGTGATTGTGATGGCCCCTCTTCCTCACAAAGCACCTTTCCAGGGTGGTGAGGGCTAACTTATTCTCAGCATCAGATACGTTTGGGATTGCACCAGGCCAGGGAAGGCTGTTTGAGACTTCCACCCCTGTTCTGGAAGGCGAAAAGAGACTGTCCTAGAAACAGGTAAAAAAACAATGCGTAATAGGTCATCTAACATGGCTTTTCTTTTAGCTAGGTCTGTTCCTACACTACAGGCAGCATTCAACAAAGGAAAAAATGTATCCGAGATCTTAAAAGGCTCATGCATCTCTTGTGTGTGTGGTGCCCATGAATGCTGCGGTTTTCTGAATGCTGAAATCTCCCATCTCTATATATAAATATTATGTAGCAAATTTCAAGAATCAAAACTGCTTCATATAGCTAATCATATAGATTAGCTCAGTAAAGTCAACACACTAAAGGTTATTATTCGCATGGTGTCCTTGGTTTCATGATATGTGCCAAAAATATGTCTCATGGCCACAGACTGGCGCGATAGTCATCGTATCCTCTGGTGCATTCTGAGATAAACATAGGACTGCCCAAGGCACACCAGTGACACGATCCTTTCTTCATACACATCTATGAGTAGCTACATCTGCCTATACTGCAAACCACTCCACGGTTTTCCAACGTTCTGGATGATCCCATATTTTGGGGACATTTTTTGTCCCACATTTGTCGATCTCACACTGATGTGCAACCGAAAGCCCTGCTCTCTTATGACTCACACACATCTCTGACTCGTATAGCCTCGCACAGGCAATGTGATACCACTGCCTACGCACGCCATCCAATAGCTGAACTGTCCTGCAGGCTAGCAAAACCTCTTATCTTGTTCACAAGCAGCTTGGATTAATTCTGTTCCCCGGCATCTCCTGCCTCGCATGAGAACATGCCTCGAGACAGTTCACTTATCGGCAGTGGAAAAGCCAGGATGTTCAAAAGCACTGGTAGCACCAGCAACATTCCCCTCTCTGAGAAAGCTGACTGATTCGCATTTATTATTTGATCTGTTCTAGAAGAAAAGGACAGCTCCACATCTCCGGACGTGCTTCAAGGTGCTAGTCGTTACTTTTAAAGCCCTTCATGGTTTAGGACCTGGCTACTTGAGAGACCGCCTCCTGCCACTTCCCTCCCAACGACCAACAAGATCACACAGGTTGGG